AAACTGGTTCAACTCCTTCCCTCAAAACGACGCTATAGAGCACTGCACGCCAGAACAACTAGACACAAGAATAGTTTTTTCCAAAACGCCATTGCTCTGCTAAACAAATAATTCCCTCAACAATGTTCAACTATTTACAAAGTCTGCACTACTATTACTATTAACCTTCTCATCACTCCTTATCACCCATCCCATCCCACTTGTGACTGTATGACTGTAACTTTGTCATTTGTATCCTTACGATTCATATGGATTGTTTCCTAGTATGATTTGATTGCTTATTGTACCCTATAACTATTATTAAGTGTTGTACCTGATGATTCTTGACTCTTGATGAATGTATCATTTCTTTTATGTACACTAAGAGCATTTGCACCAAGACAAATTCCTTGTGTGTCCAATCACACTTAGCCAATAAAGAATAAAGAATTCTATTCAAAAGGGCTATGCATTTTTATTATGGATTGGAGATTGCACTTTATGATCTTTTATTAATCAAGCTGACATAGGAAGAAAAGATGGACAATTACAGTACAAATATATTATATAATTATATAATGCATATGTTTGGAATAGTGATGTGACAGGATTTAAGAAAAAAGTTATATATGGTAGTATTATTGAAGAATGCTGAATGTAAGATGCCTATAAAATATATTAGGGAATTTGTATGTTAAAGCAGTATGAATGATATTGAATTTCTATATAATTTGGAAATTTAGCAGTAGGAAACTTATAAACATGTCAGAGACCAGATATAAATCAAAGCTTCCCAATGCATTTGGACCAGTGAGCACATCAGAGATTGTGGGCATGCATCCCAAATGCCTGCTGGGATTGGTAATCCTATTAACTAAAGATGGCCATAGATTCACTAGTTACAAAGCCCTAATTTATTCATCTGCTACCTGCCATCCATTCTAGCTCTTCTGTATACACTGAGTATTTCCTATTCCTCCTAATTATATTTATTCCTTTCCTGAGCAGGCACAACTCCAAATCACCAGGTCTATTATTTTTATTATTCCAAGGTGAAGAACAGTTAGTATTGCAACATGCCAGCCTCCACTTTTATTTTAATTAACTTTTTAAAACCGGCAACAATCTAAGGGAACAGATAACCTTTTGGATATCAGCTGAGATGACCAGTTGCTCCCTGTCAGGGCTTCATTACTATAGTGAGGGTCCTGCTATAGAATGACTGATACATTACTATTTGATACACTCCCTCTAACACAGGGGTCACCAAACTTTTGGACCTCAGGGACCAACAAACTCATACTTTTAAATCCCGAGGACCACTAATACATTTTTTTTAAAAGATAATATATTTAATATAAAAATTATTTTATATTAAATATAAATTTAATATTAAACATTAATATATATATTCTTATTTAATTATAACAAAATCATAAATGCTTAATCATAACTATGGGGCAGAGCAAAGGGAAAGGACAGGCCTCTCTCATCCTTTGGGGGGAAAGAGGGAGGATTTAATACTGCTGGGATTCAAAAGAAGTCACATGCTGCCTGGAAGCTGGGACGGTCTGAACTGGGAGGAACCAGCTCCCCCTCAAATGGAAGAAAAGCAGAGTCCCCCAGATCTAGTCTCTGGTCATTTCATATCTCCCCCAAGTCAGAGGAAACCTCTCCCTTTGCCAGGTGTGGCTGCCTGGAGTTGGGGGAGAGAAGGAGGGCCAGGCTGGAAGCGTCGAGGAAGACAGGCTCCTAATAAGTAGGTAACACCCCCCCACTTCGGCCTCCATACAAGAGGACTCCCTGAGGGGGAGGTCCTCCAGGTTTCTCCTGCCACTTCCAAGCAGAGAAGGATCCCTCCCTGTGTGAAGGCTGAAGGGGGGGTGTCGAGCCCCGAAAAGCTCGAGCTCTCACCTGCACAAACAGGCTGGTTATTAGGAGCTCTCTTCCTCAGTGCTCTTTTGGTCTGGGCATTTGGTCTACCTCCCTGCCCCATGCCAAAGGAAAGTCAGACGGGCTTCTCCTTCCCTCCTACCCTTCCCTCTGCTCCCTTCCCCCCACTCAATCCTACTTTGGGATAGAGGAGAGTGCGCTGGAAATGTGTGTTGGGATTTCCAACATGCATTTCTCTGGCACTCACCCACAATTCTTCGCATTCTTCCAGACCTGGTTTGCTGAGGGGGGAGAATGTTGTGGTTAGCTGGCAACAGGTGCAGATGGCTGAAGAGAATGAGGCTTCTGATGAGGGGCCAGGACCATCAGGTAGTGGACTGTTGCCTTCAGAAATTGTGGGGGCTGGCAGCAGTGATAAGGAGGTTCCTGTGCATGTGCCAAGTGCACGTGCACGAAGGATTGCTCGGAGGAAAGAACAATTACTGTAGCACAGGTGACTCAGGAGTAAAGCTGCTGAGGTAATGGCACCTCCCTCAAGAGGATAAAAGCCAGGTTTGGAAAAGCGTTCTTTACAGACAGCAAAGAAGCTCTGAAACTCAACTGGTGGACATCTTAGTTCGTGTTTGGAGAATCTTGTAAATTAGTTCTTATCTCTGGGTTTTTGGTAGCCTTGACAAACAACTTGGCAAGCTCTTTCTTGTCAGAGCTAATTGTTGGAAAGCAGGCTTTTATCTGTAAAGGAAGAGAATTGCCTTTGTCTGTGTTTGCTCTCTGGGAACCTGGTTGGGTCAGAACAGTGAGCAGACCTGACGTCTCTGCTTCCCTCCCCATGGCCCCAGTCATCGCTGTCAAGATCTTTCTGTATTTTGAGCCTATTCTGGAGTATTGGCTATTCCTGACAACTGCAGGGATTTGTATCATCTGAAAATTTGATTAGTTTCCCTTCTATCCCCATCTAAATAATTGATGAAGGTATTGAAGAGTACTGGACCTAAGACAAAGCCTTTGACTACCCCACTGCATACTTCCCTCCATGTAGATGCAGTTCCATTAAGGACTATATGTTGAATGTGATTGGTCAGCCATTACAAATCCATCTGGTAGAGATGCTTTCTAACCCATTTTTAAAAAATCTTGTGTACTTTATCAGATACCTTATTGAAGTCCAAGTAAATTATATCCACAGCATTTCACTTGTCCACTAATTTAGTCACTTTGTCAAACAATGCAGTAAGATTTGTTTTGCATGATCTCTTTTTGACAAACCCATGTTGGCTTCTGGTTATGATTTAGTTTGCTTCCAGGTGTTCACACATTCATTGCTTGATTATCTTTTCCAGAATCTTTGCCAAGTATTGATGTCAGGCTGATAGGTCTATAGTTTCCTGGAGACATTTTTCCCTTGTTTTTGAAGATAGGAACTACATCAACCCTTTTCCAGTCCTCTGGTAGTTCCCTGCTATTCCAGGATCTTTGAAAAATATGGCTCAGTGGTTCTGAGTTCACATCTGCCTTGGGGTGTAATTCATCTGGTCCTGGTGATTTGAACTCATCTAGTGTGGATAGGTCTCTTACCATTTTCTTTTGACTTTCGAATTTCATTCCTAATTTGCATTTTACAGTAATTTTTTTGTTTTGTTTTTGTATAAAGACAAAAAAATAGTTAATCGGTTCTTCTTTCTCCCTGCTGCTCATCACCTTCTTGTCATTTTCTCCCATTAATAGACCAATCTTTTCCTTGACTTTTTTCTTGTTTCACACATGTTGAAAGAAGCTTTTTAAAAAATAATTTTTGACTTTCGTTGCAAGTTCATTTTGAGCTTAGCTTTCCTGATTCCATCTTTACAAGTTAGGGCTATTTACTGATATTCTGCCTTAGTTATGTGCCCCTATTTTTATACTTGTCCTTTTTGTCTTTCAGTTTATCTTGTGCAGTCATTCTGGTTTCTTTTGAGATCTCTTTCCTCTGCATTTGAATTGTGCTAGATGGGCTTTTATAATCTCACTTTTCAAAACTTCCCAAGCTTCTTGGGTTGTTTTCCTTCTGAAGATTATCATCCATGTAATTCTTCTCAAGCTCTATGTTTATTGAAATCAACTCTCTTGACATCCAAAACTCTAGTTTGACTGTCAGAATTCCAGCGATTGCCCTAATTAAATCATGAATCTCAGGCCAAACTTCAAAAAACTTCAAAGAGCGACCTACTGGCATGATCTGTGTGAAGCCAAGTCTGAGATGCTTAATTTATGATCACCTATGACCTTGCTTCTCCCCACCCCTCTGGGTGTATCATAATTCATATTGTCCAATGGAACACATTCATGGGCTAGGTGTCATCAGTCATGTTCTCCAATAGAGGATTTCATGCTCAGAATACCCAGTTGCCTCAATTACAATTTCTGTAAAATAAGCTTGGAATGTTCATTTGCCACTTGCTCCTTAAGGGTTCCCTCCCCTTTCATATGGCAACTTGGAAGCCAGCATAGGAATGTTTTATAAGTTGACATTGACTTTGTTCTATTGCTTATGCTTGCATAATGTTGAATTCCAGTATTGCATGGTCACTTCCTCCCCTGAGGGCCCTGTAGCTTCAACACTACCTATCATTTTATCTCTGTTAGTGAGAATTAAGTCCAATATGGCTGACTTTCTGGTTGCCTTCTCAACCCTTTGAAAGACAAAGTTATCTGCTAGATTTGTGAGGAATCTGTTTGATCTTCCACTAGGTATAGAGCTTATCTCCTAGCTGTTGTCAAGGTAGTTAATGAGAAAATTGAGAAATAAGAAACACTTAAGGAAACTGTTCTTGAAGGTTAACCTAGAGAATGCAAAACCTACACTGCTGTTTAATGTTTGTTTGTTTTTTTTAAAAAACCTAAGATGTCATTTGACAATGCAAACTCAATGCAGGTAAATGGAAAAGAGCTACTTGGGAGAAAAATTATGACAAATGTTTGAATATCGTATGAGCATCTTAGTAAATTGAATTTCAGGGTTTTTTTTCCACTTCAAGACCAAGGCCTCCTGCATCTTTCTGGGATGGTAAAATTAGAGGGAAGGGGTTGCTACATATTTTGACCACAGTGCTAGGAAGAAGCACTAACTTTCACTCCACTCCCCCTCCCCACTATCCAATTTCCCTCTCCTCGCAGTAGATAGAAGCCTCTCCTCCCTTCTCTTCCATCCATGAGGTAACAGAAACTAGGAAGAAGGATAAAAGAAAAAAAGTAATGAGAAATAATTCATGGAACTTTGTTTTTTTTAATAAGACAATTGCAGTGAGATTATTATAAACTCAAAATTGGAAACATTACCCACAATGGAGAAATGGCTGCTGAAGATGATGATTACTGCAGTGGCTAAATTAACTTTGGTTAGAGAAAAAAAATGGATTCATTTTATTGCTGCCTGGAAACCTCTTGTAGATTCTTTTATGAAGCAGAAAAAACAAATCACTTCTGATTGGTTGCTTCAGTGAGAATGAAAAAATGGATAATAGAAAAAAAGAGCTTTTTGTAATTTTAGAGTAAGATAACTTTACAATCATATTTGTATTTACTGCAAAGATTCAAAGAAAATCAGAAGCCTCAAATTTCTTTTTATGCTTATTTGGGCACTTTTGTTTTTTCTTTGTAGTTTGTGCTAGTTTTTATGTTCTCTTTAAAACTTTAAAGAAAAGAAAGTAGGGTGAAGGAAACTGGATCGGGAAAACTGTAAAGAGGAAACATTAATCTCCCCCGGTGCTTTGGTCCTATCCTGATCTGTATTTCTCTCCTTGCTCTGTGACTAGTTGTGGCTTTTCCAGGAAAAAGAAAAGCCCTCCTTCCGTGAAGGAATTGATTAGCAGTTACCATGACTCTTCTGGCTTCAAGAGACTGAATAGTCTCCGTCATGATAATGAGATTCTTTAAATGATTTTCCATTTTATCTATGCATGTTCCTGGGATGCTCTTGAAATTAATAGATACTGGGCAAGTAGAAACCAGTACCCATCAGCATAGGTGAGGAATAGTTCAGCAGCCTTAGAGGTAACTGACCAACCTTGAAGATTCCAGAACACTAAATCAACAAAAGCCCTTCTGTTACCTGCAGAGAAAGGAAAATAGGCGTTGTTCATTTGGAATTCGCCCTTCTCATTCAAGAAATGACCCGGGTCAAACTTCTCAGGATCTTCCCACCAGAGAGGATCAAAATGCACTGAAACTCCTAATGGAAGAACAGTTGTGCCCTTTAAGGAGACAAAAAGATACAAAAAGCAACTGTGGGTTCCCCCCCCCCATAAAGAAACAGGTTGTTTTTAATTCTTTCAAAATGAGACTCTTTGGATGGTATAAAAGATGCAATTTACAAGATGTTACCATGCCTAGTGTTTGACCAAAGCATATTCACATATTAAAAGATCCTGTAGAAAATTATGTTAGTTGAAATAAAGAACATAACAAGATTGATTTGTCTGCTATGTTTCACCAAAGTAAACTGCACTTATCCCAGTTTATAATATTAAATATAATATAATATTAAATATATTATATTAAAATATACAACCTTCAGATTACAAGTGGAATTCAAAGCAGTTCCTAAATTCTGAGGCTGCACTGTTGTTGTTTAAGTTAACAAAACAAATCTGGTCCTAAGAAATTGAAGTGACATTATTAGAAATGCATTTTAAAATTATCTGTTCAAAGAGACCTGGTTCTGCCAGCGGGCCTGGGGAACGCAGAGCGGGATGGCGCTCATTAAATGGCTCCTATGATGTGTTGTCGCCAGGGTGAGGGGATGGGGAGTTATTTTATTATTTTATTATATATGATTCTCTTTTTTATTAGTTTTATTGTTTTTTATATAATGTTTTTATATTCTTGAGTAGCCATGTGCGAATAGGCGGCAATATAAATCTCCTAAATAAATAAACTTACTCCTTTTCTCCAACAGACAAAAAAACCTTGTTTTGAAATATTTTAGAAATACTTTCTAATTATATTATTATTGTGCCACCTTGGCACATCAGCACCATTTTTCTTTCAAGACTTTAACATATTTTATCCAGAATGAGGTTGGGGAATTAAAATATCCCAAATTGATACAGAAGGCTGGGACAGAGACAATAGGGGCCTAATTTAACGCATTACAGTTATTCACTGATAATGCCATACTCGGCCTTCTCCATTCTCTGGCAGACCTTCCTTTCAGCTTGGTTTTTCTTGCAGATATTTCATTATTGGATTAACAATGTCATCAGTGCTCTGAAGTATGGAAATTACGTTGGTTTGCTGTTTATGGACTTGCGGGTCTTTGGGGAGATTTTTTTTTTCCTTGACTGCTCCTGCTTATTTGAGTGTTAGATAAAGGGTAGATGTGCTCAGAGCTGTTGCCTCTTGCTTTCTTCTTTGATTGTTCATCTTAAAATGATATATACATTTGGTTTATTACTGTTTGTCTGTTCATGGGTAATTTTTCCAAGTGACAAAATTCTAGGAATTCTGTTGCATTCTGCAGCCTATCTTGATCTAAGAAGTCCAAAGCTTCCCATTTTACTGTGTGGTATTTTAATACAATCACAGTGGAGATGATAGCATGCAATAGTCACAAATCATTGTGAAAGTCATTTAAAAAAAAAAAAAGATATGCATACATAGTTTTAATTAGAAAGCAAAAATAGAACATTCAGTGCTCCCAGTAAGCTGTTATAAGAAAGGAGGTTGTAAAGCATTGTTTTATTATTATTTTTTCTTTTGATCAATCTTCAATTTTAGATGCTTTTCATGTTTCTAAAAATGGTTTGCTATCAACTTCTTCCTAGATTGAGAGTGAGTTACTGGCCCAATGTCACTTGGCTGGCTTTGTGCCCAAAGCAGGACTAGAATTCATAGTCTCCTGATTTGTAGCCTGATACCTTGTTTTGATACCATTATTATTCTCCTATCAGGAAACCAGAATTCTGGAATCCAAAGGAAGCAGACTAAATTCACTTATCCAATTTTACTGATGATATTTCTTCATCCTTTTTGGCATTTGAGGAAAGTTTCCCAGAATTTTATTATGAATAAAAATGATAAAGAGACAACTAAACATCCTCAGGTCTTTGGTGCAAACAGAAAAGAATTAACTTTTATAGTTAAGAACCTTAATAGAATTCAGTGAATCTATCTCTGCCAGAATTGAAATGTCTAGGACTACAGATGAAATTTGCAAATAAATAGCTCATACTGTCAAATCCAATGGCCTAAAGTTCAAGTGATGTTCAGACAATATAAGCAGCAACTATTACAGAAGGTTGACTATACTGCAATTATAGATAAGATCTGTATGCAAAGGAGATCCCAGACATTCGCTGATTTATCATACCTGAGGAATGAAGTGTCCTCTGAAATTCACATCCTGAGTTGTCATACGTGGGAAGTTCTCAATACTTGCCTGCAGGTAACGTAAGATCTCATGAATAACTGCTTTGGTATAAGTCATCTCCATTCTATCCTCCATGCAGGGGGCACGGTTTGTTCCCACAACCTCATCAATTTCCTGCTGGGCTTTTGCTATAATGAAACATATTTTGTTCAAGCAAACAATATTATTTTTTAAAACTATTCCAACTGCACTGATCTATAGATACAAATCATCAAAAGGAGCACTCTAATTTCTTACTTCCCAATTTCATAGCTCCTTGTGCTCATTCACATAGCATGTTTACCATGCTTTGCTTCCTGGTTGGGAAGAAAACAGATCAACATAAACACAGTGTTTCACCTTGTGCCCTTAAAGGATAAGCAACCAAGGCCGTCCATTTAGCTTCTTTGCCTGATACTGTAAGGGCAGTGACTAGCAATTTTCTCTGGTTGGATATAGAATTGCATCCAATCATTTTCTCGCACTACTCTCTTTCCTGCCTCCCTAGAGAATTACCCCGTTGACCATTAGATGGCAGCAAATACTTCATCTCTTTAACTGCAAACTAGCAATCATCTATATTTGTGTAATTCTGATGCAGCGGCTGCATTAATGTTCTTGGAGTCAGAGTTCAAGAAAAGGATTTGGGTACACGAGAGGCTTGTTTTCTGTTACAACCACACAGATTCTCCAAATGATAGCATATATCCTGCTCTAACCATAGAAAGGGGTAGAAGAAGAAAAACACAGCTATATTTTGAAGTTTTATCTGTATCAGGTTACCTTCAATGATGCACCACACTTTACAAGACAAGTTACATGAGAAGACAAACTGATGAGGCGGAGCTTCCCCAAGAGCAGTGATGGCCACTGGGAAAGTACTAGGACATTCAGAAATCTGAGGACTGGTTAGTTGTCAAGTACCATTTTTTCATTGTACAAGTGGTTGTTAAACAAAGACTGCATATATTTAAATATGGGAAGCATTCTCAAACGTTGTTAAAATTGTTCCATTTATGTATAATGTCAGCACAGTCTGCTGAGCTGGGACAATATTGGTGTATTATCATAATAATTTTAGTCACAATATTTCATAAGCCTGATATAACAGAATAATAGAGTTGGATGGGAACTTGGAGATCTTCTAGCCCAACCCCTGTTCAAGCAGGAAACCCCATACTATTTCAGACAAATGATTGTCCAATCTCCTCTTAAAAACCTTCAGCCACAACTTCTGGAGGCAAGTTGTTCCGCTGATTAATTATGGAGGTGTCTTACATTCTGTCCTTCATAACAGGCTAATTTTTGCTGCACATTATTCTAAGCACTATCTACAGGTGTATGCTGTACAAACATATTTAGGAGAATGTGACTTTTATATTAGGTTTCTATTATTTGAAACGAAGTCTCTTTAAAATATTTATTTGAAAGTTGTGATCATGAACACATTGGCTTATCACTCTAAATATTTGGAAACAGCATAGAAACAATGGCCATGGAAAATACCAACTTGCATTTGCAGTGTATCTAGGAATCTATATTTGAGGGGGACAATATAAAGAAAGGTAATGACTCCATATACCTTGGATATGTGAAAACTTGGCCAAAATGATAAGGCCAAAAGAGATGGTAGTGCCTGTGCTTTCTGTCCCGGCAAGGAAGATGTCAAACACAGACATAACCAAGTCTTCCATACAGATTACAGAAGAAACTTGTTCCTATAAAGTAAGGCAAAAATAAAAAAAAAGAGGCAGAAGTTTGTAATGTGCAGCCACATAATCATGTCATCAAATCATCCATTTGCTTCTTCTCACTTTATTTTTCTTCTAGACCAATTTATAAGGTAGACAGGGAATAATCCAAGATAGACTCCTGCATATTCTCTATGTTAATTTGAATGTCCAGTTCAACTTGAGGTCAAATGGATCAATGTTTGAATGAAAGAGAAACAGCTGGGATCCAAATGAGCTGGCTTGGTCTAGTGGTTAAAGCAGCAGGCTAGAAAGCAGGAGACCATGAGTTCAAATTCTAGCTTAGCCATGAAAGCCAACTTGAGTGATTTTGACCAGTCACTCTTTTACAGTCCAACCCACCTCACAGGGTTGTGGTTGGGAAAATAAAAAGAGGAAAGTGTATTACACATGTTCACTGCTGTGAGTTATTTGTAAAAATAAAGGTATGAAATTAAATAAAACAAAACAAACAGCTTATTTTTCTGCCTTGTATTATCCATTCTTTCCTGAGTATGCTACCAGGAACCCAGCAATGTAACACAAACATTTTCCTTTATCTCAGGCTACCCAAGGGATCATTCCTTCCCCCCCCCCCAATGGGATTGGTCTGTTTTGTCTGCTGTGGCAGAAGAAGCATTATCTGAATACCATGGGCCAAGGAATTGCAGGAGAAGGGGCTTTTTTTGCTGTGTCTCTTGCCCTCTGGAACATCATGTGGTTGTAATTTGTATTCACTTTGCTGTTACTTTTAATATTTTCAGTTTCACTGTCCAATGTTTATAACCATTTAATTGTTTTATACCATTATCATTGTAAACTGCCCAGAGTTGCTTGATAGTGAGATAGGTGGCATATAACTTTAATAAATAAATAGATCTCCTCTTCATGGAATAGAGCATCCATCTCCATCTTACAATTGAGCTTTTGAAATTTGGCTCTGAAGTATTACATTCAATTTACAAACTCTCTTTTCTCAGATATTCCCTACTATAATCCTTTTCTATTCTAGCCAAGTTACGGCCACAAGGCTTTGCTTCCATTCATGTTGAAAGGGCATTTGCTATCTCATGATTCAACAGCATCCACATTAATCTTACACTCAATATTTTGCTGGCAACCATCTAGTAACCTGGCACACTGTTGAGTTTTTTCATTTGATACCAAGTAGCTTAATACTTACGTAACCGATGGATAATTTCCCTGTGTTGGGACTACAACCTCTTTTATCAGCAGGTGGGGCACAGGAGATTTTCCAGGCAGAGTCCTACAAGGACAGGGACATTTTTAAAACCTGTCCTCCTTTTTTTAAGAGTGGGAAAACACATAGGAGTCCTTTGATAGAAACAATTCTGCTATCTCCACATTTAATAAGTTCAAGGATCACATAATGACTCATATTTAGTAGGTGGGATTCTTTTGTTTGTATGTTATTTTAGGTGGATCAGATAATTACAGAAATAGGAGATACAACCCATGGTTCAATTCCCAGTCCCACCCTAATTGTGACACAAACCACCACCACCAATAAAATAGCATTCTATCACCATGCAGCCCCTGAAATCTTCTCCAAAAGTTGGCCACTGATTATAGTTTAAGTGCAACAAAATGAATTATTATTTAATTTATTTTAAAGCAATTCTATCACACTCAGTTCTTGTTCAGTCATTTAGGGAGCATAATCCAAAGCCCATTCTCTTCAAGACTCTCAGCCCTGACAACATTCCTCTGCTCTGCAGATTTACCTACTACCAAGCTGGCTCCTAGCAGGATGCAGATGTGGTCTATGGTGCCTCCTTCAGTGCTGAAAGGGAAACGAAAGGGCAGAGCCACACTAGCGTTTCTTAAGGAGTGAATGTGTTCATTTACAATGGCCACTACTCCATATTTTATTGTAGTATTTATAATAGAGTTGGAAGATATTAGACCTTTTACTTTCTGTCTGAATAATACAAATTGCTCATCTCCATGGGCATCTCAAGAAAACTCAAAACACAAGTGCATACTTGAAACCTTTTTCCTTTTGTACTTGTGTGCAACATGTCTTTGCAATGGTACCTTTTCTAATTTAATAAGGAAGCAATCAATAAAGTCTCTAGGATTCTCTGGATCCAGGGTCTTCTTGTGAGAGTCCACTTTACTTCTAATGAAGTCACAGACCTTGTTACAGTCAGAGAAGACTTTCTTATGAGGCCCAGGAAGGAAGTTCATGATATTTGGCAAAGCACTGTACATCTGAAACATAGTGATAGTAAAAGTTAGCCATTGCTACCATAGTTCATTTCTTGGGCTGTGTCTCAGGAACTGCACAGAAAAAAATGATTTCCCTATAAAGGCGCCCTTTTATTTTTTATCCTTTTTAAAAAAACAAATGACATGCAAGGCCAAATATAGATATATTCATTTTATTCTGCAGTGCGCCCTTACCAAAGAAATACAAAATATACTATTAAAATGGGTGCCCTCAACCCTTAACTTTCAAAACATATTGCCTCATAGAGCAATATGTTTTGAACCAAGACACTTCAGGTGGACTAACTTGCAGAACGCATCCAAACTCTGGGATCCATGATCCATGTCAGAGTATAGGACATAATACAAAATGTCATAAAACATTCCCTATGCTGATGTTTGACTGTGCTTTAAAGTTTAGTGTGGGCAATATTTAAGGCAGATACATTTGTGGATATCTCGCTGAATTTTTAAGAACTTTTTAAGTGAAGGCAGTACATTAGAAAATCTTGAAAACATTGAGGAATCTGGTTAGGAAATTATTACTTTTCTAGCAAAGTGTCATACGTCAACTGAGGAGGAGGAGGAGGAGGAGTTATATATTGTATGTGGTCAAGGATTGTCTAGTATAATATATAAGTTCATGGATCCAAAGTTGATTTAGTTATGATTCTTTGGTGAGCAGTTCTCAGTTGCCACTATGAGAAAAATATGAGCAATTATTTATGAATCCCTCTATGAAATGGGCAGCTGCAATAGTTAGCTGAAAAGCAGGGCTGAAGCGTTATGCATCTTTGATAACTCTGGAAATAATCACTGCTAGCTAAGTAGCAACAAATAAACTAATCAGGAGCAAGAGAAACAGTCACATGAACAAGAAATAAAGTGTGAGTCTCAGAAACACACCTTTTATAAGGCCACTTTAAAAATCACCCATTTTTGTTGGTCAAAGGGAACTAATTGAAGCCTCTTGTTCTTAAACAAAGTGAAAACCCTGCTTTTAGAAGCACATAAAGTCAACATACCACTCCAGGAATGCTCAGGAAAAAACCATTAAATGTCTTAAAGATGTCCAATAGTTCAGTGAAATTTTTGTCTTCATAAGAGAATCGATTCCCAAAGACAACAGAGCACATCACATTAGAAATAGACGCTGTGATGGCTGGAACTATATCAAAGGGCTGACCTGAAACAGCAAAAAGAAAGGAGAAAAGAGATTGTGTGACCATATTTTGCATCCCCAAATCCTTTGCTCTAGACATTTTGTTAATTTTGTTTGTTTTACATTCTATTTGGGACAATGTCTGTCTGGGATTTGGGATTCAACATACAACGTGCACCATCCAGTTATGCTTCAACCTACTTTTTAATTGTTGATGAGCTGCCTTCAGGAGTGGAGTGGAGTAGAGTAGAGCAGTGGTGGCATTCATATTTTTTTTTTTTTACTACCGGTTCTGTAGACATGACTTGGTGGGTGTGGCAGGGGAAGGATCGTGTAAAATCTCCAGCCAGAGGTGGTATTTGCCGGTTTTCCGAACTACTCAAAATTTCTGCCACTGGTTCACCAGAACTGGTCAGAACCTGCTGAATACCACTTCTGGAGTAGAGTAGAGTAGAACAACAACAGCAACAACAACAACAACAACAATCATCATCATCCCCCAGTGAGACGCTAGCTTGATGTGGTTTGGGGGCTTGTGTGTTTTGAGGAAGATGAGAACTATGCCAGAGATTCAACCCTACTGGACAGATCTCATCAGAAGAACCAGACAAAGAGTGTTCTGTTCCGTTTAAAAATATGGTGAGACATAAATTTCAGAAAGCCATACTGTCTTGGATGTCACTCAGGTTAACAAGGTCCATGCTAGAACAAATGAAAGAAAAGAAGCTGAAGAATCAGAAGACCAAAGAATACCTAATCAAGAAATTCCACTTAGAAACAAAGAAGATCAAGGAAAGACTGGAAATAATAAAGCGGCAAATAACAGCTATAGCCACAAAGATCAGCAGATACGAAGCTCAAATTGTAAATTATAGGCAGAACCTCCAATTTCAATCCAATCAGAAACATTTTGACCAATACATCAATGGAGAAAGTGCAATGAATCAGTCAGTATCTGACAAAGAAAAAACAGTGCAGTTCTGGGTGTAGATATGGGATAACCCAAAGAAATACAACAAGGATGCAATTTGGTTAAAAGAAGTGGGTAACAATAAAAAAAAGAAGAAGTTGAAATGAAAGAACTAGTAGTAACAGCAGAAATGGTAGGGAAAAGAGCAGGAAGGTCAAGAATTGGTCAGCAACAGGTGAAGCTTAACTGCATGATTTTTGGTTGAAATATCTAGTTGGTCTATACTCACTCATTGCCAAGCAGTTTAACAACATACTACAAGGAGGTGAAATTGAAGAATGGCTAATATCTGGCAGAACCTACCTGATAATTGAAGATTCAGCACAAAAAGGGTAGCACCAGGCAACTACAGGCCAATTACCTGTTTACCAACAACTTTCAAACTGCTAATTGGTGTGCTGATGCAATCCAACAGCATCTAGTTGAAAACAATATCTTTCCACCTGAACAGAAAAGAAACTGCCCAAAAGCAGAGGAACAAAAGATTAACTCCTAATTGACAAAATGATTTTGGAAAATTGCAAGAGAAGGAAGTCCAACCTAAATGTAGCATTGACTGTCTGCCACATGACTTGATAATGAAGTGCTTAGAAATAACAGGAGTTGGTAGAACCATCAGAAGCTTTGTGCAAAGACTGATGACTCAATGGAAGACACAGTTGCAGGGCAATGGTGAGAGACTGGGGGAGGTTAATATAAAAGAGGAATATTTGAAGGAGATTCACTATCACCATTATTATTTGTCATTGCACTGTTTCCTCTATCAACAATACTGAATAATTCAGGTCATAGCTATCAAACTTCAAAAACACCTGCCAAACTATCCAACCTCCTTTACATGGACAATCTGAAGCTGTATGGAAAAACACCATAGCTGCTCAACACTGTTCATAGATATAGCCAAGATATTGCAATGGAATTTGGATTGGACAAATGTGCCATGCTCACTATCAAACAAGAAAAAGTAGTGAAAATTGAGGGAATCAAGATGCCCCACAAAAATAAAATTAAGAGTCTGGATGAAGATGATTACTACAAATACCTGGGTATCTTCAAGCTGACAACATCAAACACACTGAAGTCAATAAAAAGTTTAGAAGTGAATACATCAAGAGAGTGAAGAAGATCTTAAAGTCCAAACTCAATGGAGAAAATACTATCAAGGCCTGAGCAATTCCATTTATTAGATACACAGCAGAAATAGTGGACTGGACTCAAGCAAAACTAAAAGCAATGGATAAGAAGACCAGGAAAATAATGACAATGAATCATGCCCTTCATCCTCACTGTAACATTACCTACCAAGGCAAATAGGCAGGCATGGAATGTTGCAAATAGATGGTTGAAGAAGAAAAGGGGGCTTTGGAAGAATATCTGAAAAACAATGAAGAAGATACACTGAAGTTACTATGCCAGGAGGGCTTCCTGGTTACCAAACTGGCCTATAAGAAAGACCAGATGAAGAAAAGAATGGAGGCATGGGAAAACTATATGGCCAGTACATTAAAAAAAATAGCAGGGAAAGCAGATAATAGCAAGAACAGGAAAGTTGAAGAAAGAGACCAAGGGACTAATTCTGACTGCACAAGGCCAACCCTTAAGAACAAATGCATACAAAGCCAGACTTGACAAGATAGCAATAGACAGTAACTGCCACTTATGCAAAGAAGCTGAAGAAACAGTACCTGGTAAGCTGCTGCAAGATGATTGCACAGACTGACTACAAGCAGCAGCATGACAAAGTAGCAACAATGGTACACTGGAAAATCTGCAAGAAATATTATTTGCTTGCAAGCAAGAACTGGTGGGACCATAAAATAGAGAAAGTCACAGAAAATGAAGAAGCTAAATTGGTCTGGGAATTCAAACAGACAGGCATCTACCACATAACACTCCAGACTTAACAATTGTCAATAAAAAGGACAAAAAAGGGTGGTAGTACCTTAAGACAGCAGAGTAGAACTGGACAAGATAAAATCTAAATACCTACAAATAGAAATAGAACAACTGTGACAAAAGTAAACAAAGGTAGTACCAATAATAATAGCCACCTTGGGTGCAATTCTAAAACAACTAGAGCACCACTTGAACACCATTGACAGCTTCACCATCAATCAATTGCAAAAGTTGGCCTTACTTGAAACAGCTTCCATCCTGCAATGATATCCATCAAACATCCAGTACTGCCTATCCCAGGTCCTCGAAAGGATTCAAAAGGTGGACAGGTTTTACTCAGAATAGCTTACATCATGCAACAATACCTCTGACACCATAAAGAGCAATATCTGGCTAAGCCAAATCCTTGGGAAGGACTTGATAGAAAAAAATGTCAACTCCCATCGGAGTATCTGGCTGAGTGTGCAATGAAAACATAATAATACTAGAAGTGTACAATCAGTAGAAGTTGGAAATAAGAGATAATATAAGTATAAATAATGCAGTTTATGGGTTAATATAGGTTAATATAACCAGAAGGGCAGAATATTGCTTCAACAGAGGCCAAATATTATTAATAAATAAACATGTAGCAACCTTACAGTATTGTTGAGAGGCAAATAGAGGCAGGAACACTATGCCTTGTGTTGCAGATGTGAAGGCAGAATATAAATAAATAAATAAAATCTCCTACAAAATGAGATCACCTTCAAAGGTTGATATCTTCCCCACCAAACAGTGAGCCTCTTCCAATATTCTCTCAGCCATCGACCTCTTTCCCATTCCAAAGTTCCGTAGTGTGGTGAGAGCAAAACGACGCAAAACCTTCCATCTTTCATGTTCACTAATAAGCCCTAGAAAGAAAAAGATTGCAATAATAGACAACAGACCGTGAAACATTTTTTTAAAGAATAAAAAAGCTAATTGACCAATAGTCTCCCTCATTCTCAAAACATCTGAGGAAGGGTTAGGTTATCCAGCTCTAGGAGGTGGTGCTCATCTGTTTCTTAGCTGAGAGATCCAAAGTTGTCTGAGGACATTTCTGTGGTCATGACTATACACTGAGGCACACGGAATGCTGTTGCCTTCCCACTGAAGTGGTACCTATTTATCTACTCACATTTGCATGTTTTCTCACCCTGATGCACATCACTTTGGTTCAAATCCGGATGGTCAGCTTTAAAGATGACAAGCTCAGCATCTTTAACCATCCCACCCCTTCCAAAACATTTATCCTTTTCAAATGTCACTGATCCTGTAGGAGTTGCATTGGCTGCCAATTTGCTTCCACGTACAATATAAGGTACTGGTTGCCATCTTTAAAGCTTTTCATGGCTTGGGACTGGGTTTTCTGTGAGACCATATTTTCCTGGTTACATTAACCTAATACATTCACGGTGGGGAGGCAAGGAATGTTGCAAGTCCTTTCTCCTAAGGAGGTATATCTGGCAGGATCCAGAAGAAGGACCTTCTCTGTGGTGGCTCTCTCCTTTTGGAATATCATCCCTGCAAAGATTAGACTGGCTCCCACTTTGACACTCTTACCAAGACCCTTGGTTCTGTGAATGGACCTGGGGAACCCAGGGTGTGTTATCACCAGGATGGTGGGATTATTGTTTTTTATTCTTTTATACTGGTTTTTTAGTGTTTCTAAGTCACCCAGAGTCATTGAGAATGAGTGGGTAGCTATATAAATCTTCTGAAAAAATAAGTACATAAAATGTAAACATGCATTTCTTTCCCCAGGAGTAATTGATACTTTGATAAAAGGAAAAGAAATTCAGTCTGCACTATCTTTATTCAGCTTATATACTGGGTAAAGTTACAAAGTCTGTGGACATTTGAAAAGGATAGAAGAACTTTCATTTTTCTCAATTTTCCTATTCACTGCTTCACACCCACATACATAAACAGAAACAATATTTGAAAAACAAAACTGTTATTTTCTACTATTTCATTCTTTATACTACCCAACCTCTCATGTCTTTAACTTCTAAATGGGAAAAATCCTGAAATCATAGGGCAAAACATTGTCAATAAAGGTACTTCAAATGGCCTAATTTACAGGATGCTGGGACCCATTATTTCCCAAAGGAATGAAATTTGGGGAAGCCCTGGCTCTTTAGCATTGCTGGGTAGCTGCTGGATCAACGATGTGATTGTGCTGCAGGGGTCACATGATCCTCATTTTCAACATTTCCCTGCCAGTCTCCAACCACTTTGGCAATCTGTCATTCCCTTTCCCATCCACATTAATCACTTACCTCTCTGCTGGGAAAGGAAGGGAAGGAGAAAGGAAGAGAAGGGAAGGAGAAAGAAAGGGAGGCAGGAAAAGAAGCAAGGAATGCATTAATAGGGAAGAAGGAACTCTTGTATGTCCTTCCCCACCAGGTTGCCCACCCCATGTGCCCTCCCTGACCTGTTCATCAGTTCTTGTGTGCTCACTGCATGCCATCCTTTACCCATGTGGCATCTCTTGTGCAGGGAAGGAGAAAAGGAGGGGGAAGGGGGAGGGAAAGAAGGAAGGAGAGGTTTTTAATACTTCCTGCAAGCTTCTCACCAGGAAATTCAATGGAGAAGCTAGCAGGAAGTGGCTTGCACTCCCCCTGCTATTTGTTCACCCATGGTCATTTTGTTTATTTGTTTAGGTAAGAAAACACCTTTGAAATGATGACCCAGTGACACACTAGTAGAAAGGTAAAAGTAAAGGTTCCCCTCGGACATATGTGCTGATCATTTCCAGGTCTAGTGGGTGGTGCTCATCTCCGTTACAAAGCCAAAGAGCCAGCGCTGTCCAAAGACGTCTCCATGGTCATGTGGCTGGCATGACTAAATGCCAAAGGTACACAGAACCAAAGTGGTTCCTATTTTTCTACTTGCATTTTTACATGCTTTCAAACTGCTAGCTTGGCAGAAGCTGTGACAAGTAACAGGAGCTTACTCTGTTACATGGCATTAGGGATTCGAACCGCCAAACTGCCGACCTTTCTGATCAACAAGGTCAGCGTCTTAGCCACTGAGCCACTATGACACACTAATATTCTCTGAATTTTTAGATCTTCTGTTCTGGAACTTGACAATAACATTCACAACAAATAATAACTTCTAGACTATTTTAATGAACAATTCCGCTTACTAATCGTATTGTGCATCCTTCAGCTTGGGAAATGATACTGCAAGTGGCAAAATCTTGGTCTGACTTTTCCATCTACATTATTGGTAAACTCTGAAAAGGCCTCCTGATTGCATCACCTACTTCCAAATTATAAACCTTAAAGGGCTTGAGTCTAACTTGTAAGGTTGTACATAGCTTTGTTGGAGTGCTTCTATTCAACACATCTTCAAACAATTTACTCCCTCCAAATAGATTTGCAAATAGTATTTGAGGGCTTCAAAGTGTTTTGCAGCATTTTGAAAAGCCACAGAACTTTGACAGGTTGAATATTGCTCAAAGTTGCAAGTTTGGTAGTGAAATCCTGCAGCATCGGGAAACTACCAAATGACTGCAAAAGAGCTGATATGGTTCCTATCTTCAAAAAAAGGGAAAAAATGGTTCCAAGAAACTACAGACCTATCAGCCTGACACCAATATCCGGGATGATTCTGGAAAAGATAATAAAGCAATGAATAATCTACAGACACCTAAAAGGAAGCAAATTTATAACCAGAAACCAACCACCAACATAGGTTTGTCAAAAACTGATGATGCCAGACAAAATTTATTCCATTCTTTGACAACATGACAAAAGAGTTTTGTCTGCTTTTCAAGTACCCCCAAGAGCTATTTCATTTTTCATTCCTTAAAAAGAATATTGGACACTGTCATTTGTTTAGGAAAGTTAAGGTTTTTATCTTTCCTCTAAATGGATAACTGGAACTGGAAATCAAAGTGCAAATAATCTGTACACTCACCATAGCCCTTGGTTATTTGAGCAAAGAGAGCTATAGGTGGCCGTCCACTAAATTCTTCATTATGAGTTACCAAAGCATCTCTCACTCCTTCATATCCACAAATCACAACCATTGGCTTTACTCCTAGCCAGATAGTAAAAACTGGACCATACTTCTTAGTGAGCTGAGGACAAAATCAATCAAAGGCATGAGTCAATACAATTTGAGATCTCATTCCTGGATGCAATGTTCTACAAAATATCTTAATAACTTTAAAAAGTAAGAATGTAACAATTAATCAGACTTCTTCCCAATCTAACATAAATTATTTGAAAGTACTGTGTTAAATTTTATAGATACAAGTACTAGACAAATTCCTTAGATCAACTTTTCACTGCCAGATGTCTTTCAAGTGAATTTTAATTTACTATTGTCAAAAGCCTTGGGGGCTGAAAATTATAATGGCTGGTACATAATGCATGATTGGTTCAAGAAATGATGCAGAATAAATTTGCTATGATTAGATTCATGTTAAAACTAATTTCACTTTTACATTAGAACTTCATTCTGTTTTAAATGTCACAACTGTGGGATTTGTACACCAGGCTACAAAATGCACTGCTTAATGATAGTTAATTTATTTCTATCTTGCCTTTTTATTTGTACAAATAATTCAAGGTTCTAAACATATCCAACACACCTGCCTTCTTCTATTTACCCCAAAATAATCACCCTGTGATGTGAGTTAGGCTGAAAGAGAGTGACTTCCCAATTCCCAGTGATGGGTGGGAAAGAGGGGGAAAAATTAGAAGAAAGGCATGAAAAAGAAATGGGACTAAATAAATAAAAGGGAGCTTCAATCATCCTTGCCAAAAGCTTTGGTGTGTTTGTGTTCAAGGACCTTTGAGCTACCAGCAAGATCAAGGCCATTCAGATGTAGGGGGAATCTCATTCCAGAAGGCAGGAAGTGCTACAAAGAGGCATATTTTAGGGCACTGATGAATGCTGTCGAAGGAATCCAGAACTGCTAACCATGGAGGATCAAATCAGCTGGGCAGACACAATGGAAGACAAGTGCTCCCTCAAGTAACCAGGCTCTACAATACGGGCATCAAACTCAATTGCGTCAAGTGATGTATCACGATATATCACAATATTTTTTCTTTGTGAAGCCAGGATGGGTGTGGCCTACATATGACACATCTGGCCCATGAGCCACCAGTTTGATACCCCGTTCTACAAAATTCATGCGTTTCATAGGTCATAATCAGCACCTTGAATCACACCTAGAAGCAAATCAGAAACCAGTAAAGCTTGTGAAGTAGGGGCATTATATGGATATATGAAGGTATGTCCATCATTACTCAGGCCACCACATTCTAGACCAGTTAAAGTTTTAAAGTAGTCTTCAATGGAAGCACCATATGGACTACATTGCAGTAGTCAAGGTGTAAGGTAGGAGATACTGCCTAAAGGGCCTAGTAACCTAGGAAGACCAGAAGAAACTGTGGAAAGGCTTTCCTGGCCTCAGCTGCCATCTGCTTATTGAGCAGGAGCTATGAATCCAGGAAGATTAGGGGATTGTGGCAGTGGTGGGATTCAAATGTTTTACTATGGCTTGGTGGGTGTGGCAGGGGAAGGATAGTGTAAAATCTCCAGTCAGAGGTGGTATTTGCCAGTTCTCTGAACTACTCAAAATTTCTGCTACCAGTTCTCCAGAACTGGTCAGAACCTGCTGAATACCACCTCTGGATTGTGATCAGACTTTAATAGAGAAAAAATTGCCCCATCCAAGGTCAAAGATGAATCATCCCTAGATCTAGGTGGCTGAAATGCCCATGACTTCTTAGTTTTTGCTAGAATAAGTCAGAAATGCTTCCTACCCAAATAAACCCACATAGTCTCCAGGTACTGCGACAGGACCCTGACAACTTGGCCATCTTGGGATTGAAAGACATAATTTCATATCATTAGCATACTGATAATATTGAACCTTATCAGTAGAGGATGACCTCACTAAGTGGTTTAATGTAAATATTGTAAAGGAGGTGAGAGCAAGTAAAAGCATTTAGCACCCCACAAAGGAATGTACCATTGGTCATCTCCAAGGCTGCTTTTACAATCCAAATTGGACCTAGATTTAGTAAACTGGTGGCTCGGCTATTGTATAGAGTCTTTGTCTACCTCCACAGGAGCTACAAGAAAAAATTCAACCCAGAACATGCTAACAAACCATGCACCTGGTGCCTCAAGTCAGAGTACATGACAATATGAACCTGAGCCATTTTATCCACTAAATATCCTGATTTATTTTCTCAGCAGGCCTCCCTATTCATAGCAGCTCCCAGTGACCCTATGTTGTGCCATGCATTTGTGAAGTGGTTGGTTTTCCCCCCCCAATGTACAGGTCTGCACATGTCTTGCTTCATTGTACTTCATGTACCAAAATGCTCAATTTGTATCTGAGTGTGTTATCCTTGAGGTGGACAAGCTTCTGCCTTAGTGTATTATTGGGTTTAAAGTGTGCCTGTATGTTGTGTTGTTGAAAATCTTCCTGAGTTTTTCTGATATTTCTGCAATGTATGGCATGACAATGTTGCTTTGTTTATTGTTCTCTTCTTTGTCTGTTATGGAGGAGCCCCTGCTGGATTTTGGGGGGAATTTGACAACATAGAACAAACTGATCATGATTAGATTCAGCAGTCCATCTGCATTTAAAAGACAAAGGCCTCTCTTTTGAAGACAGCAAAGTCCACATTTTGGACAAAGAGGACCATTGGTTTGAAAGGGGGATCAAACAGGCCTATGTCAAAATCCCTCCCCCTCTGTTGATATGACATGATATGACATGATCTAACTCCAGTCTACAACACTGTCCTTTCAGCAATTCCAAGACATCTCCAAACCCATTTGCA